AGGACCTAAAAATGGGGTATTTTGGGGGCAGCTCTTATTTTTTTTTTTTTATAAAGATCCATCCAGTGAAACTTTTTTAAGGCCATCAGTTAAAAAGAATATCGGCGAGAATTAGATGTCCCTATCGCAACACAATACAAAATGGCGTCAGTTTTTAGTTTTCGTCAACCTCAGAGACCCCACATAAAAATAAATTATAATATCCAATATTAACATTTTATGAGGTTGTACCAGGAAAGCTTATCCCTATACGAAAAACAGTGTGCCTTTTAGTTAGTATCTCAATTTCCCTTGGGGACCCAAAATGAAGCATATTGGGGGAAGCTCAAAAATGTTAAATGTAATGTCTGAAAACTAAAGACTGCCACCATTTTGTACTGGGTTGAGGTAGAGGTGTCACTTGATGGGGCTTTATGTTTAAAAATGTTAAGCTGCACCCAAAATACCTCATTTAGGGGTCCCGGGAAAAATTTCCATACTGATCAAAAAGTAATTTTTAATTTCTTTTTACACCATCATTATGCATCTTAAATTCTAGGAATATGTTCTTTTTTACTCTCGTTCGAGAGTCCATCAAGAATTAATATTTTAGGTTAAAATAAAAGCAATGTTAAAAACCTTCACCAGATGTTTGCAAAATGGAGGGATGTTATTAAGTCTCGGAATAATCCAGTGAAATCGTTTCTGTTGTCCGATTCGGTTGCAAACTGCTTTACAATGTTTATTAATATAATTTTAAATGTTTGGTTTTAATTCTTTAATTCATCAGGATAGCTTTTTTCTATACAATTTCTTATTTCTTATTGTATATGGTTACAACCTCGAAGTGGGTTTTAACTACTTAAATACTACTAGCACTGCAAAAAATACCAACCAAGACAAATATGGTTATTTATCATAAATTTAGACTTTATTGGCTATTTTGTGACAAAAAATATTCAGACCTTCCAACAACTCAAATTTTGGGATTATAGTTGAATCTATGAACTGAAAATATTCTTCAACTTAACTGATAAAAGAAGAAAAGGCTATACCTAAAATCACTATCTGTTTCAAAAATACTACATGTTTATGCTATAAAATAACCTTTACCGACATCCTTTACATCCAATCTCTAATATTGTTTTCAGTTTTACATTTTTCCTTTTTGATCAATTTTTAAATGGTTGAATACTAAGGTATTACTCTGTTGTACTGGAGGTTGAAGTTGATCTTTTATCTTCGGTGCAAGTGTAGCTGCAGGGTGATTTGGCACCCAGTAAATGCTTTAAGGAGTGTTGTAAATTTATCTGCATCCATAACATACAAAATTGAATTTATGCAAGGTTCTGGATCCAAATAAGGAATAGAAACTTTGAAAAGCTTTTTCTCGACTGTGACTTTGAGTTAGTGTTAATAATTGCACGCATTTGAACAAACTCTTTTATTGAATGAAATATTTTAAAACTACATATTTTAAAGGGGAAAGGTTTGAACCACATTGTTTTATGATTAACAGCAGCAAAATATATGCAAAGATATGTTTTTAGAAAAATCTTCCGTCATGAAAACGAAACACAGTATACGCGGATTAAAGGGCTATGTTGGTAACATTAACGTACAAAATAAACAATTCATATAGTCAACGTTAGTTTCAATAAGTTATATAACATTCTAACTGTCAAACTATAAACAGTCAATATTTATTTTAGGCTGTTATTAATAATTTCATTTAATGAAAGCAAGCTATCAAAAAGAATCATTGAAAGTTGAACAGCTTGAAAAAGTCTCAAAGCAATAAGTAATTGCTATTTCCGTACAAATCTGTTCAAACTGAGTTTACTGCAACAGTAAGGAATAAAGAAACCGACGTTGCTTCTCTTGACTTGTACGTTATGTAGCCCTATTACTCTAGTTATATTTATTAATGCGATAATTATTACTATGTAAACTGCGATGGAAAAATGTATTACTGTAAAAGAAGACATTCTAACAATAAAATAGTTCATTCTTTGCTTATGAGAGATAGAGATTATTTATAATGTAAATACATGGTACACTGAGTACATTTCCAAACTGTATTTAAATTCAACCGAAACCAGGAAACGAACCATTATAAATCACCCAGGCAGCTCTTACTCTCTCAACCAACCCTCAATAATTCAGGAAGGGCATTGCAAATTATTTTACTTCCCAGTGCCTAGAGTATTAATAGAACCTCTTTTTTTATTCAACTATTTTATTATTTAATCTAAAGCTTAGTATCTTTGTCCAATTTTTGACGTTAATTTTATTTACAAAATTCAAATACAACAATAAAATATAAAGATTTACCGATAGTCAGCTTCGTCTCATCATAAAACAAATATTATTGGGAGACCTAACAAGTCTATCTAACCTTTCATACAAAGAAGGTTTTATTACAGCTATGAAGAAATATTAAATTAAATGTTAGTTGTCTTTTTAATCAAAACGATTTGTTAATATAGATCCTCCTTTAAAACACATTTCATGATAAACTAGAAACATACCCACCACAGCTGACCTGCAGACTGAGCAAATGTTTCTATCAAAATGTTATAGGCTCGTATAAAAGAAATAAATTCACCAAATTTGATCAAAATATATCTCCAAACAAGCAAAATACATTTAATAATTTATTTATTCTCTTTAAGCATAATATGATAGTTTCAAATGTACAGTTTATTTATTTCCTCCGTAAACGCTTCGAGGACACCAAGTGGAGTAGGTTGTAGCTCTAGAAATCGCTGGTACAAAAATACTCTTACGACAATCACAATTAATTCTGCAGCCGAATCCTGTAGATAGGAAACCCACCTTAATATCGGTGTCCTGCTTACTTGATACTTTTAACCTCCTGGTGTCAATTCATCCACGTACTTGGATTTATAGAGGCAACTGAAGTATATTTAGGGTCACATAAAAATGTGATTATCGCTCATTAGCATCCTCTAGGGAGCTCCAGGACTTTGAGGTACGGATGCGACTCAGTCGGCATTGGTAAAACTCAATTTATAAATTAGTTTTCATAATCCTAAAAACTGAAAATCTTAATATTTACAATGATTTACAAACAACTATTATTTCAAACCTAACAAAACAGCACGTATTATATCCCCAAACGGATTTTCCCTATTCTTTTGGCTATGGGAGCTATTTATTTTGTTTAGCTAGTGGATTTATGGGATTTAGAGAGTTGGTGGCATCGATCATTTCGGTAGCTTTGGAATTAGTAGTATAATAAATTCCTGTATACGTCCATATTTAGACTAAACCAAACCGCTACATTATTTATTTATACTATATTTCTATTAAGGCTTTTTAACCATTGCAAATATGGCTTTAGTTTATAATGAGTCATAGTACAATGACTGCTTTTCAAATAACTTTGTGGTAGCAATTTTATAATAAAATTTAAGTAAATGTGTTTATAATATGTGCTAAATAAAAACAGGTCATGTAAATACTAAAATAGTACATGCATTATTAAAAGATATCGTTCCCTAAACATGTTTAGAAAATACACTGACAATTTTAAATGAGAATTTTGTTTCACATTTTGGAACTGTTTTATTTATTTAACCAGGGGGGGGGGTGTTTAAATCGTGCCGTAACGATAAACTTATCGGTGTTGGATTGCCTTTATTTCAATGCATGCTGTAAATAAGGATCTTCACTTTCGATAACAAAGTACCTGGATCTATTAAACAATCTGAGAGCCGGTTTACTGCTACCGATCGTCACAGCACCTACAGTTGACATTTTTCAACGTTGATCCAGCCTAAGTTGTTGTCATAGGTTTCAAGTTTACGCGTTGTGTTTGGTCCCTTTAATATGATGACTGTTTAGGAGATCGGAAGAAAGAACATAACTAAACCTTAACCAGAGTCATCCATTGCCAAGAACGAGACAGACTTAGAACGGCAAATATTGTATGTATCAAAGAACACTAATGGCCAATAACAACGAATAACCTGGATGTAGCTTCTTTGCAAAAGGGATATTGGTGTTCTGTTTTCATTTTATATTTAATTTTAAGACGTACAAAATGTAACTAAATTTAACCAAACAAGTTTTATAACAAATCGATTTCTCAGGCCACTGGATAAAATTCATAATGTCATGCCAAAGAGTCAAAAAATAAGAAAAAAAGAGTATCACCCTGGTATTTAATGTGGAAATGTATCAATAGTTTATGATTATCTACGTTCAAATTAGAGAATGCTAGAATTGTTCGTATTTTTTTTACAAAACGTTATTTTTTGTAAAAGAATGTTACGTGTAAAGTCAATCATCAACTTGTTATATCAAATCAAAACAACCTTTATTCATTATGTACAAAATATACATGAATAGTGTCAATTCCTAAGAATACCAACATAAAAATAATATAAATAAATAAGCCGTACAACACTCATCGGAAAAAGTCATTGAGCTTATAGCAACATTTTTTTACATAAAAACTTAAATAAACTTTCTTTAAATGACCTGAGGGAAGATGCAGACTTAATGCAATCAGGCAGGTTGTTATAAAATTTAATACCAGAGTAGTGGGGCGAAAGTTCAATGGGATTTGTGTTTGGGATATGTAAGGCAGTCTTTGTGTCTTGTGTCATAATAAAGGTAAAGGTGTCTTCGTCTATAGTAAAATAAGGTCAATGAATTGTAACTGCAGTATATACTAGCTTTGTAATGTACAGTAGTCAATATTTACAAGAGGGACTATAATAACTATAGAGCCTTCTCAGCCTGGCCGTTATGTTTCTAATATTATATTATATATAATGTATACCTTTTGTGTGTGATAAAATCTGAAAATATAACCATCCATTTATGGTTTAATCTTACTTGCCTACGACAGAGATATTTTTCAGACATTGGACGTTACCAATTTTAAAAGGAAATATAAATCGTTAGCCTTTATCTAGGGTGATTTTATCGTAGGTTTTATAGTTGTTAGAAGTTTCACTTGGATTGATCTAGTATACTCAGTTGAGTGACGCACATGTAAATGTCACAGGTGTTACCCGTCTAATTAATGGTGAACATGACGTGTAGTCAAGTAAAAAGGCCATTCCACTCCACATATTGCCATGAAATGGTAAGTACGACTACTTCTATAGATTACTTTTAATACATTAAATGTAAAATTTATATAACTTGTATTATTTTATTTGTCTTTGCTGTTCGTGTTAATAATTGATCTATATTCCAATTTTACGAGTAACATGTTTGAAGGATTCCTTTTAAAACGTCTTATTTTCTATTTATATATACAATAAATATCATATTAGCGAAAAACTATTTACAAATTAAACTTTATCAAGAGTTATTTTAACTCAAATCTAATGTTTATTTCGGGTAGGACACTTTTAAAAATTTCTTTTGCAAATTTCTTTTATTATCAGTAAAAAAGAAATCGCATCCCCATGTTCAAGCTGTTGGCAGTTTTGGAATAACTATCAACGTAGTATCAACAATTGGAGGCCAACATAGTATAAAATACTAATTTATGTTAAACTCGTCTTATGACCTGTTTATTAATCCAAACTAATAAGAAAACATAATTACGCTTTATATTTCACGATATATCAACTATAACAGTGTAGAAAGGTAAGAAAAATCCAATCTTAAAAATCTAGCTATGAAAAAGGCTACCAAATTTGGCTTTATTGCAATACAAAAATATCTTGTTCACATGAATGGGATATTCTTTGATATCTAAAATGTAATGCTGAAATACAACTCTAAATCTGTAATTTTTAGTGGGACCTCACAAGTTTAACCTGGGCCATTCTAATCGTCGTATCATCGGCTTTGACAAGCTACGCAGAATATGTCCCGTTTTCTCTCATTGGTGATGTCGATGAACCGACCGGATTCACGAAGAAAGTTATTTTCATCACAGGCCTGGAAAAACGCGTAGAAAGTGATCTTCTTCCTTTGGCAGAAATTCCAAAAGATTTATCTGGAAGACAGGGAGATGATATCACATCTTACAATACATTGTTGTGGAATCGTCGAAGAGAAATCATCATGTCAATAAAGAAATTTAGAAGATACAACAGCTTCCTTGAATATGTCGACTCTTTCAAGATCTTTAGATCATCTTCTGCAATGAATGGATTAAGTTGGCTACTCTCTAAATATTGGTTCGTATGCACCCGTATTTACGTGAATAAGTCCATTATCAAAACTATGTTTTTGCGACCAGCTGGTTATAATTAGCATATTATAATTGATTTATCTTCTTGGGAAATTTGTAAACCTTTATAAATGAATGGTCAATGTACTGTATTTTAACACGGAAATGTCCTAGAATATCGTCAAAATCTTTTTCGAAAACAAAATGATGATATTTATTTAAGCCATAAAATTAGTAAGATTATATTACAGATTTTAACAGCTTTTTAGTTTTCACTCGCCCGAAATAATGTTACTGAACTAAAAAAAAAAAACGCTTTATGTTCCATAGATTCCATTCATAGATTTAGTAGGTAACTTGGATTATATTTGCCTGCTTAATCAAATGAGATTGCATTACGTACCACTGTTTGTTGTGAACTTAAAACTCCTATGTTATTATTACGGAGAGTACATAAACTGTTGTAGTTTGCTTGTTTATGATTGCATTTAAATGAAACACGGCAAATTTATTTATTTTAAACTTAGCTATAAATATATTAATAAAAACTCACTTTATTACTCTCCCCCTGTAGCAGCAACCCTAGGTACTCATGAAACCTAATATTATTGAAATTGATTTTATTGAAAATCATATCAGGGAAATGGAAACTCACTTAATCTGCAGGTTTGCTGTGGTGAAGGTATTTTGCCTATTCCATGAAATGCATTGACGGTAATGCATCCTTTGATTGCAAGAAAAGTGAATAGGTTGCTGCAGATCTCTGGAGGGAGTTGATAACACAAAACATTAAAAGATTTTTTTTATTAGCTTTTAACGGCCGCCATTTTGAAACGAGTAGATAGAACTAGACCATAGACTACCTAGGCCGAGATAATGTATTCAAGCACTTGTGTGCCAAATTTCATAAAAATCGGTACAGGCATTCGGTCATTATAGCCAATTCATAGCGACCCAGCATCCTCTTACGGCCGCCATCTTGATGACATCATAACGGACGACCGATGTCCTTAAAATTGGGGTCTGGGCAGTTTTAGGCCCCTATTAGACACCCGAGGAGATGTACTATACCCGAAGATGTATTACACATTAATTTCACATGTTTGTTGCTATACTCCTCTACAGCACAGTTCCAAATACAAGGGTGTTTTTTTATTTCACTAATAAAGTCTATAGAGTTCAACTTTGTGTCGGCCAACTACTGACACTTTTTCATGAGCTCCTCTTGCTTTTTATTTGCGTCTTTCTTTTGATCGCCTATCGGCGGCTCTTCTTGCTTTTCTTTGATTCTTTCTTTTGTTCGCCTTTCGGAGGTTCTTTAAATTCACCCACTCACAACACAACAGAACGCAATACAACAGTGTGCAAGTACACCCGTGATATGAACTGACCGAGTGGCGACGTGATACTGGCGACCTGGTGTAATAAGCTCCATATGCTACAACGCAGCGTCGCCAATGGGTAGCCAGTGGCTACCGCAGTGGCGACGGGGCTCGGTAGCCAGTCGGTCGCCAAAGTGTGGCTGCGTCGCTGGCTACCCTCGTGTTATAACATCCATAAGGCCCCTATTAGACAAGGTAGCCTGGCGACGTCGCCAGCGACAAGTAGCTGGCGACGCACTGGCCACCAAACCTAGTAGCCAGTTGAGTGGCTAGAATTTTACCGCCGTTACTCATTTTGTTGTGAGTGCTTGTCTTGTACTTGTACTTGTTATGAGCGGTATGTTTACAGTGAATAATGAGTGAAGTTGCTTTTTATTTGCTTCTTTCTTTTGATCGCCTATCGGCGGCTCTCCTTGCTTTTTCTTTGATTCTTTCTTTTGTTCGCCTTTCGGAGGTTCTTCTTTTTTCTTCATATCTTCGCGTATCCCTTCGACTGAATTAGATGTAGACATTTTATCAACTGACGTGAACAATTCACCCACTCACAACACAACAGAACGAAACGCAACGGTGTTTTTACCCCCGTGATATGAACTGACCGAGTGGCGACGTGATACTGGCGACCTAGTGTCTACAATGCAGCGTCGCCAATATGGGTAGCCAGCGGCTACCGCAGTGGCGACGGGGCTCGGTAGCCAGTCGGTCACCAAAGTGTGGCTGCGTCGCTGGCTACCCTCGTGTAATAACATCCATAAGAATCAATGACCATTGACAAGCTGAGTAGCCAGTTTGGTCGCTGGCGACGTCGCCAGGCCACCTCGTCTAATAGGGGCCTTTAGGTTCAAACACTTGTATACTATAACCACCTAAAATTGCAGCCTCCCCGCCAGAACTAAAATATTTTCCTGCTACCCAACCTGACTATTTAATGCTATCAACATTTACATTTGTGTTGGTTACATACGTCATAGGATCTGCTATGAAATTAACAAAGTAAATTAAAAAGATAAAATATTATTAGCTTAGTAAAATTAGTTGTGCATTTTTTTTCTAGACTCCAGTGTTTGAATTCATTTTTATTCACCTTCATGTCGTTGGCGTGAAGTGTCAGGTAGCACAACTGCGGCGATAGTTCGTTTGCTATTTTTAATATTATAGATTCGAGAATATTATTTGAATCAACCATGTTTATATTTGAATGATTGTAAACACTCCTTAACATTACTAGTACTTTTTGGAGTTTTAACATTATAGTTTAAACAAATCATCTAGTAATGGTTAGTTACTGTAATGGTATTACAGCTGAGAGCATTTGAAACAGTAGTTTAGCGCGATGGTATGATAAAAACAAAATTTACAATAATCGGAATACTAAAGATAAAATCGCAAAAATCTTTAAAACTAAGTAGTGTAAAATATTAATGACAATTATTTATCGGTTATAAAAAACAACATTTAAGATAAGTTATGAATACTAATTAATACGTTATGTGAAACATACAAAGATTTTGGTAGTTTCAGCGGATTCCCAAAATTAAAAATAAGCTATAATTATGTTTAGACCAAGACCCGGGACGGTTTTACTTTTTCGTTTTGATGCCCCAGAGGCCAAAAGCACCATTCAAATTCACACATATATATTCATTTGTGTGTGCGTGTGTTGATGTATGTGTGTCTCCGTTATCACGATAGGTTTAGTGAAAATCTTCTAATTCTCATTACATTTTTTGAATAACCCCCACCACTGCAAAACTGCAGACTAAGCAAATTTATATTTATTTGATTGGATTTTCATTCAAACATAGCCTTAAAGATAACAGGTTTATTCGCTATTTAAAAACATTAGGTTTAATGAGTAGTTAGTTTTACTGCCACAGGAAACTTATAAAGAGCGTTTTTTTTTTTAGTTAAATGTTAATATATTCTTATGAAATGAATTAATTTGTGTCATCTTATCCAAATATGTCTATAAACAAGCAAAGTACAACTGTTAACTAATTCTTTATATATCATGGGAAATTTAAAACTACGGGTTTTAGGAATTTTTACTGTGATCTCTAAGCCTACCACATATCTTTAATATACCAACTTATTTGAGTTTAAGCTGTACTAAATGGTTTAAAAAGAAACAGAAAAATTATTCAAACGCCAATTTTTATCCCTCTAATCCCCATAAGACATTGTTCTAATTGTCCGATCATGCTTTTTCGTGAATAAGTTCAAATAAATGTAGATTTACATGTTTGTACCGAATTTCATCAAACTCATATAATAATTTTTACTCTAGTTATTGTGCTAACGGACACATATAGGCTGTACAATTGGCATTTAGGGACATCAAAACGATATTTACGATAATAGCTTATTTACTTTTATTGGAATTTTTACAACAATGTATAAACCTACGCTCTTTTAAAACGAGCTTGTGAACCAGCATAATCGGACTAAATTAACGGGAGTTTTTTTTTGGGGGGGGGGGGGTTATGAAGGAGGATTTGGGTTTTCCGAGAGATACGTTTTAATACCAAATCACTTTAGAACAAGTCTAAAAAAAATAACTATTAATTTGGAATTCTAGTTAACCTATTAAAACATATACCTTATTTGTTTTACGTATAAATAGTCTTCTTTTTCAATTTTGCCACGTTCAATTCAGTTAAAATATCTTTTAAGACTCTTTATTCTTAATTTACTTCACAAACATTTCCATACAGATCTATATTGAAAATTTGTACAACAAAGTTCAATAACAAACTCATGATAATATTATTAAGTGTATGTCAGTGTACCGGTCCGCACAACGATGTAATCACTTTTGTTTAGGCCGGCCAAAAGTATAATTTTTCAATGTTACGTGTAAATATAAATGTTTCGTGTGTATGTATGTGTATATGTAAACTTCAACGGTGACCAATGCTATAAACAGTAATTAACAAGACAGAAAATTTGACAATGGGGCTGTTGGCCCCGAAACTATAGTCATTGTAAAAGACGACTTGGATTGAGGACGTATACAAGGTATTTAACCTATTATTATTATAATGTTTTACCTAACCCGCCATGTAAAACTTCCCTATCCCAAGCGTGATGTATATAACTTCGTTACTTCTCGAGTGATGTAAAGTTGAAAAAAACTCACTCGATGAGGTAATGAAACCCATTTAAATAACATTGAGTGCTTAACTTAAAAAATATACCTCTATGGAGCCAACGACGTTCAACGCTAGAAATCAGCTGTGCGCTTGAATTTTATTGTTATGTTTTGAAGAATTTTCCTAACCTAGCTTTTGTTTGTAAATGAACGTTACTGTTAGAAGATGAGTGAAATGAATAATGAAAAATATTGTTCGTAGCCTCCTGTATATTGTCGGGTCAGGTAAAATCTTGTACGTTACACGTTACGCAAGAGCGTGTTTACATCACTTAGGTAAATTGAGTTGCATAACATTCACCTGCATGATGTAAAAACGCTCTTACTACACTTGTAAGGTAAATAGCTATTACATCTGTTGACCAGCATTGTTGCGAGTTGTAATAGCTATTTACGTTACAAGTGTAGTAAGAGTGATCCCGTAGGTGAATGTTGTATAATTCACCTAAGTGATTTAAATTGTAGCATGTCAGTAGTTTGGATCACGGAACGTCGCAACAATAGTTTCATCCAAGGATGTTAGAACAGAAACGTTATGGATCAAAAACATAAAAGAACTTGATCGAATTTAAAACTACCAAACTCTACAGCTAAAAAAAAAAGTTTGTTGACGGTTACATTAAAATATGAATACGTACATGTTAATTTTCGGGTCATTTGATTGTCTAAGATCCATACCATTTCTATTAATAATCCATTGGGTCGTCAAACAATTCGCCCATTCCGACGACGCATCGTTGAAAACTAAAAAAGTCCTTGGCTTTTCCTAAAGACTTTTAGTTCAATATTAATAAATACTCTTCGATTTTGAACAGTTGAATTTTTTTTTGCCTAATTAATAACCAATAATAAATGGCATTCATAGGAATGTCCTTTTCTTTTGTACTGTATTTAGTAATATGTTATTGTACTGTCTACAGTTACTGAAGATGATTTGTTAAAAGTATAAAAATGCTACAATTCATTTATTTACATTTTGTAAAACTGTCTTATCTTCTTGGCCATCCGTTAAATTAATGTTAAAAATATTGAATTTTCATTCTATGTTTTTACCGAAAAAATAATTTTTCCAGAAAGAGGCTAGCATCGATTTTGCCTGAAACTAATATATTTTTGACATTAAAAGAGTTAAACTTTATTTTGTACTTTATTTGCAGCTGTATTTGTTACTTGTTTATTAGAAAAAGTTTCTACAATGACTGTTAGGTGAGTGAGTCGGTGGCTCAGTCGGTGGCTCAGTCGGTAGCGTAACGGACTTCGGGCCTAGGGCACCGATGTCGTAGGTTCGGATCCTGGTCACTGCCGTAATTATTTGATCAGTGTACAGTTCACCTTTGTATACTCATATTATAGTACAGATTTTAGTGAAACTATAATCAAGAAAATATATTTTCACTTAGCCTGTAGGTGGGCTGCGGCGAGGGTAATTTTCAATTATTTTTGTAATTACTGATTAGGTTACTTAAAAGATTTCAGTATTTGGCTACCTACCTGACTGTTCTTTGTTTGATTTCTAAATTTAGATAGATTTTAGAGTAGTACGGAGAAAAATATCGTTCGTCACGTATCAAATGGGAACCATCCTACTAGACCAGGAAGCACATATACCTTCCGTAGCTATTGTTGCATTGTATATATATATAGTTTATTTAGTTTGTAGAATATAGTTTGTAGTTTACAGTATTTGTATTGAATAGTTTGCATGGATATAGTTTTTAGGTTTTAGCTAGCAACCGATTATGTTGTTTGTTTTAGCGAATTTCCCATATAGGGAATAAGCTATTACCGTAGTATTCATGGTAAGACCTGGACCCGGGACCGATTTACTATTTCGTTTTGAGGTCCATAGAGGCCAAAAACATCATCCGTTCAAATTCATAATATATGTGTGCCCGGTAGCAAAAATCATCCGATTTTGATTAAATTTGGTATAGATGTGTAAACCTACATTTATTCGAACGAGTTCGCGAACCAGCATTCTCGGACTATGGGAACGGATGTTTATGGGGGGTTTATGGGGGGTTTTATGGGGTTAAAATAGGGGTTTCCCATTTTTGACCCTAAAAACACAAAATTTCAGAGATTTTTTCCAAACCATTTTGTAGAGCTTAAAAATACCAATAATCTAGTATATTTAAGCGTTATTGTGCGCCTAATGGTTACGGAGAAAATTCAAAAAAACTTTTAATTTAAAATCCCCATGTTATTCTTAAGGAGAATAAGTCAGCTGTTGTAGTTTGTTTGTTTATGAACATATTTTGATCGAATTTGGAAAATACATTCAATTCTTACTAAACTATTTACATTTTAAAACAAAAAACACTTTTTACCCTCCTTGTTGCAGCAAACCTAAGTACTTGTAAAACTAATTCTATTTAAATAGGTAGGGAATAAATGTGATTTTTTTGGAGGCATTTTAGTCTAAATCCAATAAGGCAGATGGAAAATCGCTTAGTCTGCAGGTTTGCTGTTGCGGGGGTATTTATTTATTGGGGCAGGTAAAGTGGTGCACAGCAAAAATTAATAATATTCAAAACAAATTTTATGGATAGTTAAAATAGGTAACAGAAGGGAATGAGCTGGAGTTAACTAAAGATTCTCCAACAAATATTTTCTTCTTTCATGAATGTGTTCTATTATGTGTAAACCTGTTATATTTTAGTTTATTTCATAGACTCTGTATGTACTATGTGAATCTATTCACAGCCAATAATAGAACATTATTTATAGGCAATCGTCAGTAAAGAATCTCAAAACACACTTAAAACAAGTCGAACAATATATAGTTGAGTACGCTAGAATCAGCAGCAAGAACTTTGTAACGTCAGTCGAGATTGAAGGAAAACATACAGTGTATTTCTACATTTACGACCACAGGAAGGTTGAACTGGATGTATGGTTCAAAAAATCTGAAACCCCTGTTGTTGGAGACAAAGATTTGATACACAAGGAGTTTGGAAAGACTTGGTTGGCTGGTGGTAAAACGAAACTACCTATAAAAAGTAAGAGGCTTATTAGGCTGTTTAAACTGGCTTTAGAAGAAGCCAATGGTCAGGAAAATAAAGAGGAAGAAAACTCAAATGAGTAATGGGACTGTTAGTACAGTGAAGTACTTCATTTTTAATATATGCAAAGACGAGAATAAAAACATTACATGACTTGGAAGTTTATTTACACCAATTCCTGTTACGATATCCTTATTTACTATCATAATATTATATTTAAAACAATTTCCATTTCCTAAACTATGCACTTTTTTATTAGAAACTGAATAATTTCTATGAAAAAACGCAATGTGTGGTCTTTATGTTTAATTTATAATCGTTCTCCACAAATCCTGACATTACAAAGAAACGTTACTAAGAATAATTAAACAGTGAAATTTAAGTAAATCGTTATTTACTACTCCCTCAATAAAAATACTTTGCAACTGCCAAACTATCACTGGTATTTAAAGTACAAACAATTCTAGGACAACAACCTATCCCCCGTGAAACATTCAAAGAAAAGGGGGGAACGGGGGCTCCAGCGATTTTAATTGGTTGCAAAACATTGCAAAACACTTAAATATAAGCTACATGACACCTACATTTTGTTCAAAGTATTGACATTTCACAAGCAGAATAAAATATTTATTTCAGTGCATATTTTCAAATAATTTGTAAATATATATTAATTCCCTCCATTAACTAAAAATTTACACCAACAAAAAATACATCAGCAACACATTTTAACTTTTAAATAAAAATTTTTATTGCATACTATTTAAAGTCGCCAAAAATACAAGAGTCTGACATAAATATCTGGTCATTTCTTTCCTCTTCTTTTTAGCCCTTATAGAAAGACCAAACTGCCAGTGAATTTACATACCTTAAATATCCAGTATAATACCTAGACATACGGCAATAATTAGTAGACATGATGGATGTCTAATGATCAGTAAATATCCAACACTTGACGTGTTAACCAAGGACACATAACGATATTTGTCATTGAACGTGCACTAATGACATCATTCGTCCAGCTTCGAAAGTTAGATACAAAATCGGACGTATGATGTAATGTATCACTTAACAGTATTTCTTATCGTGGTTGTTAAGTATTGTAAATCTATTTTGTCTCTATGTAGTCTGTCTTCAAGACATGATATGTTTTGACATTTAAATATTTGTGCCTTTGGACTGGCTCTAACAATTATTTTTGGGGGTTTTAAATTTCACACATATGCTTGAATATTGTTTTTTTTTGTGAGTGTTATTCGTAAATGCAAAATCGCTCAGTATATTCCTGTGCTCTATACAAAGAAAAATCTCTAAGAACGGCATGAACTCACAAATCACAAAACTTTGTTGCTCTTTCCTCGAAAATCATAAAATCAGTAACTGCAAATCGAATAGCACTTGTTTTAAACAAATGAAGACACATGTTTTGGGTGTTTAGAATATTAACACGTGCTTGATTATTGTTGTCTTTGTTTATGTTTTGTGTTCTTTTTGGAACTAATAGAAACTGTTCATCTCAATGTTCTGTCAATTAATGTTAGCAGTTTACTCAAAATATTTGATTTTAGGCAGTAGCCTACTATCATGATTGACTGTATGAACCTAGCTCAAGAATTTCATACCTTAAGAATTAAAGCTTCAATATTTAATATCTAGAAAATAATCAAATCAACACTTCTTACACTAAGACAAATCTCTTACCACACACATTTCAATAGTAACGTTTGTCTTTGAGCAGAAATAGTGGCTTATAGACAAAATCAAAATCAAAACCAGTTCTATAAACTATATAATTTTAAGTAAACACGATTACACGCATTATCTGACACTTTTTCCGGCTAGGCCAGACTTTTACCATTAAAACATTTAGGCATCCTATCAATACAGTTTAATGGACCAGCTGAAGCTGGCCCATGAATCCAATATGTTTCATGAAAGATATAATTGGAAATGTCACTATTAGAGTGTGCTATTGTTGAAATTCTAATTCCTCTCTTAATTTTTATAATGGTTGAATAGTTGTAGGGCCTATATAACAAAACAGATACTTAAGCTTAAAATGTATTGTCATTCCAGTTTAGTTTGTTTTAAGAGTCAATTAAAATTTATTTAAAGTAAATACAATCCACATCAGCTACTCTGTTGATAAATTACGTAATATTTATACTAAAACTAGCAAAATCCATCAATAGCCAAATTTTGTTTAAAATAAAACAAATAAATATATCACACGTTGCATCATTAGGGAGTAGCAACAATTGAGCATTGCATTAACTTATTTAACAGAATAAGTATTAGACTGTATACATGGTCTTGTAAAATGAGATGTACAAATGCAAATATGAAAGGAAATTCCTTTTAATTACTCTTTTCTATCAAATCAACGACAGCAAAATAGAGTATGTAAAAAAAGCCTGATTATAAACTTTTAAACGAGAACAAAGTTTATATCTTACTTCATTATTTTCTTTACACATAAGTTTCTAACTAATTTAATAAATTACTAGTCTGGCACTCAGACGATCATTTTTGAACTAGTCACACATGTACTATTTTTCCTACAGTTACCTAACAATGTACATGTTCTCTCACTGATTTGAGAAAGCAAAGTGGCTAATTTGCTCATCAGTGAGACAATGTTAACATTGTCTCACTCTAATTAATTTGTCTCACTCCAGATTTGCAACGTGAAGGCACGAAATAGTGAGCGCGTAACATGCAGACAAGGTCGTATGTGCGCGAAATACGTACGTTAGCAGCACTGGCTGTAAATCAGCTGGTCAGCTGTTGTACTGTTGTATTTGTTACTTCACATTAAATGTCATATTAAAAGTTCACTTCTGTGTAAAAATATGCTACGTTTCTTTACCAATTTATCTGTTTTATGGTAACTGTAGGAAAAATATAATGTGCAGCTCGAGTGCAAAGTGCAATTGCCTCACTCGAAAAACCATTCGTTAGTATTTCTCTTGAGTGAGTCAATTGCTCTTTTTGCTCACTAGTTGCACAAATAACTATACCAATTGGTTTAAGTCACATAGATTATTACCTTGGTCAGCTGGTTGTTGCAGTTTAATGTACCCAAACTAATTAACTATGGGACCTGTGTGATTTGACACCAGAATAAGATTTATCTTGTATGAATAATAAATCCGTTCTGATAGTAAAAAATTATTAAGAAGTTAATCTGTTAATCGATTTGAGAAATAAACAATAATTAAGCTTAAATTCACTGTTTATGAATTATCTTTGATTGGGATTTAACTATGCATTGTTTTATTATTATCTTTCTATACTATTATAAAAGTGAGGTGGTGTCTGCCTGCCTGTTCTTTGGTCTATGCGTGTAAAGGCACAGTCGTCAAAGAAGACTTTGGTTAAGACAACAAAGAGTAACTGTTTGATATCTCACTGTTAATAACTTAACTAAGCATGGGAAATTCTGCAAAATAAACTTACATAGCTAAAACTTTAAACATAGAAGTTAAAACTAAAAAAAAATTAAACGTCTAATACAAATAAAATATAGAATAATTTTGAACATTAATGTATTCGACAAACCTATCTAGGTTTTTGCAATACACCGTACCTTCAGTCTTGAATCACTTAGATTTTGGTCAAACTTAAATAAAAACTATAAAATTTTAAAACAGCACTCCTCTTCATTACACTTATGAGGTAAGAGACTTAGTCATCTGGATTTTTGTGACGAGGCATACCCTTTGCATGGGCAGCCAGATTCCCTGATCTTATGCCTATCTTATTCCTTGTTTGGGAATTCCTTGATGGTGAAGTGAATACTACAGATGTATACAGTGAAGAGGACTTGAGAAAGCTCTATAATTGACAGTAGTTGTACAAAAGTTGAGAGGAACCCTTTCCTATAAGATTACAGTTGAAGCAATAAAGAAAAGCTAAAGAACACGCAAAGACAGGTAGTTTTAACCACATATTTAAAACTCTTAAGGTGCAGATTTTCCATGTTTCTGTTTGTATTCAATTATTTAAAAAAATATTGCCTTGTATTTCAAATTTTTTCTGTAAAATAACTTAAATTTAAAAAATAATGTTAATTATTTATTATTTTAATTACCTCTGACTTGTACATTTATATAACTCTCTATATTAACCTGGTATAAAATAATTCAAAGCCCTTTGACTATGCACTATGGTATTCAATATGTAGTAAAATATTAGATTTGATAAGTTTACTTGGGGTAAACTTGATTATACAGATACCTTTTGCACACAACTTTCACTAAATGCGTTCTTGTAATTAATGAGTGCAGTTAATGAAAAAAAAAATTAATTTTATGTTTAAAGCAATATTTCTCCCCTTAGGCTGACATAACATGTAACATTTTGCATATCATTTTAAAGCTTAAAATGTGGGGATGTTTTTTATACTATTTGACAGTATTTAACACCACTTGGTAAAAACCTTTCTTAAGCGAGTTGTAGCGCCCTTTTTATTAATTTTTCAAAATTTGTTATTTAAGTCAAATTTTAAAACTTTTAAATGGGTTTAGCTGTACTATATTATACGTGTTTCCATGGGAAATTTCATGAAGATTCTAAAAATGCCATTGAAAAAATATCATTATGTAGGTTAAAAGTTGAGAAATATAAGATTTTATTAGGCAATGTCAAGAAATTTGAAAAGATCTGTTTGAAAAAAAAAAGTTTGAAAAATGGCTGTTGCCGGAAGTAGGAGTGAGATATAACCATCCAAATTGCGTATTTTTATAGAAATGTTTGTGCATTATATTGACTTAAAGTATTTGACACTGACTACCAAACACCCTGTAAATCTTCTTATTAATGAAGAGTTCAATTGATTAATGTTTGCTCGATGGTCATAACTTTATATTAATGGTTTAAAAACCTATGATACCATACAATTCTTCTTTTATAAAACAAAATTGTAATTTAGGAATGATACCTACAAAATACAATATTTCGTTTTGACGTTATTTTAAATTATAAGTGAGTCTATAACTAGAGACATCAGGCACTAAAAGTTTTAGTTTAAATTCAATCTATTATATTATTTATTAATTTTCTCATTTGAAAGCATTTTTTTTCGATCCACCACCATCACATCCAAGTACATCTAAGTCACATATCTTTTGTTGAGAACTTAGGTGAATTTAAGAA